AGCATCATAAAGAAGGGAATCAGTAAAGTAATTTTCTAATCCCTTAAATGGATGCTTATCTGCGACCACCGTCTTAACTTCGTTGTTAGTGTCAACATATTTCAGACACTGATGGAGGGTAGAGGGAACTATAACATTACTGTGGATCCAAGGGCGACCCAGCAGTAAGTTATAAGAAGTCTCTGCATCAATTACATAACAAGTGACTTCTGACTTCAAGTCTCCAAGTTGACACTTCACCCGGATTTTTCACAATGGCCTAGACCTACTAGTATTGAATCCGTAGATAATAGTTCATGTGGAGGCTAGCTTGTTGGTGGGAATTCCGAGGTGGTACATCAACCTAAGTGGCATAATACTAACAGCGAAACCTGGATCAACTTGAATCCGGTTAACAACGCTTGAGCCAATATATCTGGTGAAATATAAAGGCCTATCATGCTTTGAATTTTTCACTTGCATATCTTCTTCGGTAAAAGCAATGCAAGGGAACTTCGTGGCTGCTAAATTGTAATGCTGAACTGACAACTCTGGCTCTTCAGGGGTTGGCTTAATCTGAGTAAGAAATACTTCAGAATCAGCCAATGCTTCTTGTAAAGCTTCTCTGGTATCCTTTGAAAGACGCAACAATTTATACAACGTGATCATTGCTGGGATATTGGCTAATTGAGTCATGACGTCAAAACAGAATGGAGCATTTGAACTATCTGGTTTATCTCTTCCAATCGGTCGATTGAAATGAGACTGCTTCGGAATTTAAACTTCCTTATGTTGGGGTTCTTTCTCCTTTTGTTTAGCTGTCTTTTGAGATTTTTTGGCCGTCACGAGCAGAGTTGTAACTATCCCCAGCTCTATTAAGGTTTTAGAAGGTGCAGTTTTTACCACCCCCTGCTCAGCTATTTGCTCAGATGCACTTGGGTAATTAAAGTGGTATTCATTTCCGCTCCTAGTAGTGAAAGTTTCTTGCTCCTCCTCAGAAAGCGGTAGAGCTAGGATTTCTTTATCATTTTCTTCAGGAATTACCGAGGCTTCGAATAGGACTTCTCTTTTCCTTTGCCCTTCGATTTCTTCTAGACGTAGATGTCGTCCACTGTTCATCTTTAAGCAAATCGGGATGAACCCAAAGGATTTTGTCATTTGGGGTTGTATGTGACACAAGTCCCTTTTGGCACTGTCCATGAGGGTCATCGTTGACCGTTTGCATTTTAACCTTTGATATAGGTTCGGGTTGGAACCAGGATAAAGGAACTAAATCAAAACTAATAGATACTCTATTTGCACCTACTTTCTTTTCTTTCGTCTTTGCAGTCATAATACCGACATCGATAAAGGTTTGTATTTTGTTTTTAAGACATGACACGCCTTGGTGGGATGATGAACCCTTTTGTGATATGCATAATATTTCGGATCATTAGTCTTCTTTGCTTCTTCCTGATTTGTGACCGGTGGAAGTTTGATCTTGTTGTTGTCCAAAAGATACTTAAAGATAACTGGTACTTCATCATCTTTAAAAAAAGTATTCTTTCGGGAACCTAGGTTCTGAAGTCTTAGGCTGCCTCGGAGGCAGCTGGTTCTAATGTTGTGCCAGTTGGAAGGATGATTGTTGCGGATGTTATTGATGTGATTGTTATGATGTTTGGTGAGCATCAACAGCAGTAGCAGGTCCCTTTCCTCTACCTCGAGAATTAAAATTCTGCTTTTGAGAATTAGCTGGCGGTTGACCTCTCTCTAGCTTCTTCCTTTTGAGGAACCGTTCAGCTTGTTCATCTCTCACCTTCAAATCTTTCTAAGTATTGGAGGGCACAACTCCCATGACTTCTAAGACATCCAAAGAAAGATTATTATGGCATGTCTTAAGGATAAACTCTTCGGTGAGTGGATCTCGACAGTTCACCATTTTGTTCCGGAACCGCTTGACAAAAACATCAACTGACTCCCCATCTTTTTGCTTCTCATCCAACAAAGTGCCAATAGAGACCTCGGTATCATCGTCGAAGAAATTGGTAAGAAACAATCCTTCCATATCCTCCCAGCTATTGATAAAATTGGTAAGAAACAATCCTTCCATATCCTCCCAGCTATTGATACTCCCTGGCTTAAGACGTCGGTACCAATCGAAGGCAGGCCCACGAAGGGTTCCTACGAATGACCGGACCATCAAAACTTTATTTCTGGATATTACGCCAAGATGAGACTTAAAATAAATCAAGTGCTGAGTGGGTGAACCCCTGCCATCAAAAGGAGTAAAGTTAATTTGACTAAATTTTGGAGGATAAGGAATCAAGTCTCATTCTCTCGGGTACGGATATGGGATGCCCGTTTTCTTCACTTCCTGAGCTGTCATCAGAGCATTGACTTTGTTCTCAAGATCTCGCATCTTTTTGTCTTCCTCCATATCCTTCTTCAAATAAATTTGAGAAGGTTGAGTAGACGACTTAACCGAGCCGCTCTCCGAATTGTCTTTATTAGGAAGAGGATCAGCGAAGATAGTTTCGTCCACTTTAGGATCTCTATCAACCTCAGTTATACGCACATGTATGGTATCAAGCCGGTTAGATTCAGCATTTTGACTTGATTCCGGTTGATGTTGTGTTATACGCACATGTATGGTATCAAGCCGGTTAGATTCAGCATTTTGACTTGATTCCGGTTGATGTTGTTGCGCTTGCAAATCCCTCATGTGTTGCATTGTCAACTCCATTTCAGTCTTGATTTCAGCTCTGATTTCTTCACGTTGTTTAGCTAACGCTTCCTGCAATATCTGAACTAGTTGATCCGGTGTAATTGCAAATGATTCTCTAGCTTGTCCAACACTAGATACTGTATCATCTAAGGCAACTGCAGAACAAGTATCTGATAGTTCCTCGTCTGAAGATAACCCTTCATGCATTTTCCTATAATCTCGGCGTCGACTGGCTCTTCGTTGGAGCCGTGGCATTCTTTGAGAGAGACCCTGCTCAACTCTCTCTCCTGGAGAGAAATCAGGGTCAAGGTTGACTAAATGTCGCTTTCCTCTGTCGGTCATATTAATAGTGACCTCTGGAAGTTCATCTTCTTACACAATGAGTTTCTTCTTCTTAAAATGTCTCATCTTGGGTTTTGTCGTCTCAGTGGAAAGTCTCTGAAACACAGAAACTCGTGGCGATTCAGCTTTGGAACAACCGCATTCCGACAATACTGCCTTAATGAGCCTCTCGCATCACTACAACAAATTACACTTTTCCCGACGCTTATTCCCGACGCATGGTTAAATACGTCGGTAAAAATTATATTTTCCCCGACGCTTTTAGTTAGCGTCGGCAAAAATATATTTTTCCCGACGTTTATAATTAGCGTCGCTAAAAGTGTATATTATTAGCGACGTTCTAACTTAGCGTCGGTAAAAGTTATGGATTTCCCGACGTCGCTAAAAGTCTCTTTTTCCCGACGTTCTTGTTTTGCGTCGCTAAAAGGTTACTTTTTACGACGCTGTTTCGTTCATCCACGTCGCCAAAAAAACACCCCAAATTTTTACCTATAGGCGGGAAATTTCCACCCTTTATTTTCGCGAAAAAGAGAAAAAAACTCAGAATCCCCGTTCTCTCTCTCTTTCTCTCTCTCATTAGAAAACCTGCCCCAAACCCCCGTGCTCGCCGCTTTCGTCGGAGTTCACCGCCTCCATCGGAGTTCACCGCCGCCATCGATCCCTGAAGCTCGCCGCCGCCGTCGACCCAAATCGGATCTCGCCGAATCGGATCTCGCCACCTCTCCTTCTCCTCTCCTCTTCCAAATTGAAATCCAAATTGAACGTAGAAGAGGAAAATGGCGGCGGCAGCAGCAGCTTTCCCATCTCCTCTTCAAGCTCTCTTGAATCTCGCCCAACGGTTCCGACGGGCAAAAAGCGAAGATCGAAGTTTGATTTCTGAAAACTTTCTGGCTTTTGTTTTCATGTTTATGATGTGGAAATTTGTGATCTTTCTGTAGTATTTTGCTTAATTTTTGGTACTATTAAGTTTTCTTAGTTTCGCATATGGTCACCGATAAATCGGTATTTGGCATTTGCATGCCTTGAATTTTGATGTCCGGATGGTGAAAAACAGCCATATATATTAGCTAGTTTCAGGTTTCAATTTCTAATTAATTATTACATCAAGTTCATCTTGTATGAGTCCCTTAGGAGGGAATTTGAGCCAGATTAGTCGACTAATGCCTTCGGGAAATAATAAAGCTTTTAGATGGACTTAGTCCTCACAAACAAGGGAGAAAGACTTTGTTCAAAATTATAAATTATTTATGGTTCTTTTATAATAACAAAAAATATAAATATCAATTCTAATATGTTGAGTTTAGAAGACATTGAGGATTGAAGCCAAACTGAGATTGCAGTATCCTGGTACTGCTTATTATTAGAAATAGCTAATGAACCATCATATAGATATAAAATTTATATCATGAACAAATAATGGTGCGCGTGCAGTTACAAATAAGGGAAATCAATCTCGGGTCTCAACCACGGGATCTTGTATCTAGAAGATGCATATATGTTTCTAATTAGTTATACAGAAAGAGGAACCACGATGTCAATGAGATTGAACTATGTCTCGGAAAGAAGTAAAAGTACCGACTGACAATTATTTCTTTTATCACATTGAACTGATGCACAGTAATTTTCTCTAAAAGGCTTCTTAATTTCATTATTTGTTTTGTATTTAATAAAATCCTTGTGATTTGTAAAATCGATAGATGGAAGCAACATCTCATCCCTTTGATACGATATTGGTAAAACTTTTTTGTTCTTTTTTAAGAAACAATCAGAACATTCCTTTGATCATTTTCATTTCTAGGAGCTGCTTATGATTAGTTATTTTCGCAATATGCCTTTCCCTTCCCAATGTTGTTGGTTTGTGAAACTTAAGCTGTCAGCTAGTGTTTCATCACGTTAAAGTTTACATGATGTTATGAGTTTGTTTGCGTTGCAGCATTAACAACAATTAATGATTTCATGTCTAACATTCAGGACTCTGGTACAAGTGAATCCTGTATTGGTTATTTGCCTTGTGGTATAGTGCATTCGAGATCTGACATGGAAGTAAAGCTTCTATGGCTAGCAAAGGGCTCAAAGGTTAGTAATTCTATTAGGGATTATGTCATCACAACTCATGTCTCATTGATGCTAAAATATTCCAAACCCCCTTTGTGTCCTTAGAGTTTCTTGTATGTGGTGATTTTCCTGTTACTTAGTTGCAATACTTTGGTGTTATTATGTTATGTTTCATGCTTTGGTGTTATTTTGTATGTGGTGATTTTTTTTTCATGGATGACATTTCTAGTCTCCTTTAGTACCTACCTTTTCATTTGTCTATTGCCCGTGAAATTCACTATATCTCATCTTGTTTGACTCAATTGTTTCCACTGTAGAGGAATATGGAGGCCTTGGTCCTGATTACTTGTATCACTGTATAGCAATGGAAGAAATAAGTCGTGCTTCTGGATCTGTTTGCATTAATCAATTTGGTTGCAGTCCTTGGATTTTTAGGGACTTTGAGGTTAGTGGGAGAACTCATCTGTTGAAAGGTAAATTACGTTTCATTTTCCTTTTCATTATTTTGATAATAAAGAGAGCATATGAGGGAGATGCTATTGTGTGTTTTATTTGATTATTTACACTTAATTCTATACATGCAAGAGCCTTTAGAGTTCCTATTGCTTCCACTGCAGATCCATGAGTTCGATTATTGAGCTTTAGAATTATTGATATCAGGTCCATGAATTTCATCTGCACTTACATATGTGCCTTCCACCGGTTCCAAACAAACTTCAAAATGATAGAATTACAGATTTAATAGCCATTCTTGCTTAAGACAACTTTCTATATATCTAAAGAGTTGCATTTAGCTCATACAAATGGATTAAACAATGACTCAGATTCACATAAAATGCACGTTTGTTTGTTGGTTGGTTTTCTTGAACGGATTTGGTTAGGTTTGCATTGCCAACATAAGTTATTGCATAGTAATTGTTTGTGGAGGATGTGTAATGAATGATGTTGCCAACATACATCCATGATGTTGCAGCTCATCAATGAGAAGCCTCAAGTGATTCAAGAGTACGTGTCTTAAAAAGCAATTCCAAATTAGTAGATAATTACCAAACTAGAGAGGGTCTTGAGAGTGAAACTAAGAGGAAAGAAATAATTTGCCCGGTACAAAGTTCGTATTTATGGAACTTCGACATCTAAAGCAAATGGTTCTATTTTGATTTTGAGCAGCTTGAATTGGTTATAGTGTATATGAAGTGTGGAGCTGGTTTTTTGTCTTTTTACATGTTGTATCCTCTATTGCGTTGTTTTCTTGTGTCTAATGAATGAGGTTGGTAGAGGCTTTTGTTTGCTTTTCTCTGTTGTTGCCTCAAATATTTAAACTCATGTAGTTTCTTAATATGCATCACGTGCAACGCACGTATGACATACTAGTGTAACTAAAAGAATGAAAACACTTGACTTCTGGAGTTCAAGTGAAATAATTTTAAGAAAGCAAAAAATGAGGTCTGATGCTAAATATATTTTTCAAAAATCTGAAGCTGAAGCATATGTCTCCGCAGAGTAAGGGTAAAAGACTTGCCACAAGGATGTTCCTATAGAAGCTATTTTATTCCTATAGAAGGAGAGATAGCTGAAGCTTATGCTGATAATAAAGAACGAATGTTGAAGAAGAAAATACTAGTTGGAGATGGATGGGTTAGGGTGTCTGTAATTTCCTTTTTGCGTAATTTTCAAATGCATTTAGTTTCTTTCTGCATGATCTTTGCTATGATTTTGCTTGAAAATCTTGCTTTTGTTTTAAACTGTATAGAAGACTGTTTAATCAAAGAACTGATATCTTTAACATCTCTAACAGGAAATAATCAAAGAACTGATGGAAAGACTACCACACATGAAAGAGCTTATGAATATGTTTAGTGGCCCTGATAGAGTGACTGCAAAGCAACAAATGCAGGAGTTAGACAGAGTCGCAAAAACTCTACCAGAGAATATACCTTCATCTGTGAAGAGGTTCACTGATCGTGCCGTTCTTTCACTTTAAGTTTTCTTTTTTTCAACTTAGTTTAGTTTCCTGTAAATCTTATAATGTGTCATTCTCTGAAATGGAAAACAATGAATATGGCAAACTGGAATATTTAAACAGGTCTTTGAGTGTTGATTTGGAAATGGAAATGAATGTAATTATTTTGCAATGGGAGCAAATTCTTTGTTTATCATAATATGCAACTTGTTTGGAGTATAATTTGATGTTTGGTTTCTTTGTTGATATGAATGGGAGTAAATTTTTTGTGGATGTTCAGGTACAATGTAGGCTTGTAGTTGACAGAAATGATATTACTTTTGGCGATGCAAATTAGTATCGACAAAATTATACTTTTTACCGTTGCTAAAAATTATACTTTTGCCGACGCTATCTTGCGTCGGTAAAAGTATAGCTTTTAGCGACGCTATCTTGCGTTGCCAAAAGTATAGCTTTTAGCGACGCTTCATTATGCGTCGCTAAAAGCTACACTTTTGCCGACGCTACCTTACGTTGACAATAGTATAGCTTTTAGCGACGCTATCTTGCGTCGCCAAAAGTATAGCTTTTAGCGACGCAGAGTGAAGCGTCGCTAAAAGTTATACTTTTAGCGACGCAGGATAGCGTCGCTAAAAGCTAAACTTTTGCCGACGCATAGCTTTTGCCGACGCTGCATGCGTCGCCAAAAGTACACTTTTGCCGACGTAAAATATTATGCGTCGCTAAAAAATACACTTTTCCCGACGCATGACGCGTCGCCAAAAGTATACTTTTGGCGACGCAGTGTATTTGCGTCGCCAAATACTTTCCTTGACGCACTTTTGGCGACGCGTTAGCGACGCTGCATTTTGCGTCAGGAAAGATTTTTCCCGACGTTTTTTAAACTTTTGCCGACGTTTTTGTTTCGTCGGTAATGTTGTATTTTGTTGTAGTGCATGCGCAATGAGACTCTGTTTCTCTAGCAACCCTTTTTCGTGACTTATTAGTTTGATAGTACAGCTCATCATTACCATGATTCGAGCAACCTATCTTTTGCCTTTTGAACCTTATTAACATGCACAGGATGACTTATCATCACGTCTGAGCGATCCAAGGTTATGTGTTTACACCCCACCCCCTGTGAGTGTGGAGTCTTTACAGGCCCTAAAAGAGAGTGAATTAGTATCTTCTCTTTTTGGGCTTGTTTTGTTTTGATAGGAGGATACTTACGACCCCCAGTATAAGAATTTACTCGGGATTCGTTTATCGGACCCAAGCGTTCTTTAATTGAAGCTCTGCCTCGATCATCAGTTAAAGGACCGAGACGATCCGCCATTGTAACTTTGAATTTTGACAGGTCAGGACTGACCCAATGCTTCACTGGTGATGGAATAAACATAGTTGCAGTAGAGGGATCAGGAGTGGACGTTGACGGGGCCGAAGGGGTGATTTTGTGAACTTTCTCTTGGTCGCGGCAGGGGTAAGCGTCACGGTCGAATGGTGTGCCGCAATAGTGGAAACTGTCGCAGTTGGAAGAAGTGTCGTGACAGTTGTGACTGCCGCGGTTAAAGGGCTTGCCGTGACAGTATGGACTGTCGTGTTTGAAGGACTTGTCGTGGCAGTATAGACTGTTGTGGTTAAGGGCTGAATCTCCTTAATCCAATTTTTGTGCATGTTCAGTTTTGGGAATCCAAACTTTGCAATTCTTTGGTGATTCTTCAGACACCATTTCTTTCTTCCCTTCTTGCGTTCATTCACGAAGGGCACAGGTACGAGCAGCGTTTACACGATGCTTTTGTATGCATTCTTTGAGGGTCGAACGAGCCCTTTTGATGAAAGTCCATTCTTCTGTCGTGAGTTGTGCAGAAATGTGAGTGGTTTACTGTTGAGGCAACTGGTTCGCTCGTTGCTTCTTCAACTCTAGGTCCACGTAGTAGCGAGCCCCGTCGGTTTTTTCTAAGGCTTTAGCCAATTGACCAGCACGACGCTGACGACCAGCGCGACGCTGACGCCCCGTCGGTTTTTTCTAAGGCTTTAGCCAATTGACCAGCACGACGCTGACGACCAGCGCGACGCTGACGTTGTCTCTGTCGAGCCCTCTTCGTCGGCCAATTGACCAGCACGACGCTGACGACCAGCGCGACGCTGACGTTGTCTCTGTCGAGCCCTCTTCGTCAGTACCGATAAGCTTTGATTTAATGACCCCTTAATTAGAGAATGGTCATTTGGAGCAGAGATGTTGCTAGCAGAGTCCTTGGTAATGATCGGGTAAGAATCCTACCCGTAGTCTTTATCGGAGTTAAAGACTGATAAACCTTCTTAGAAGATAAAATCTTCCTGCATTTACGAGGCGAAGAAAATTTTGAGGATGAGGATGACAGATACTCCTCAAATTTTGTTTTGAGGATGAGGATGACAGATACTCCTCAAATTTTGCCTGATCGAACTCATATTCGATCTCTTCATTAATCATAATCTTGATCGGCTATGACGCAACAGTCTCGGTAGCGAGACCGTTGACTCCCACTGTGGTTGCCAGTTCGTTTTCTTCGAAAGGTTATTTTAAAATGGAATCCATTAAAACTTCAATTGCTTACAATGAATTACACAATAAAATAAGAAAATTACAACTCTCTAGAAAATAACACAGGAATTGTTTATCAACTCCTATTTTTGTGGGGACTTTGCCTGTGCCGGAAGTGCGTTAACTCGTGGACCACCAATTCACAAGATTCTGATTGAATTGTGAAAGGCTTTGGGGATTCTCTCTTTGTTTATCGAAGTTAGAATTTGAAGTAAATATCTTATCGGTGTAAGATGTTCACTCTTCCAAAGATTAAGTCAAGGCTTAAATCTATAGGAATCAACGAAAGATTCTTGGAAGTATTTTTGAGGAATTAAGACTCTCTTGCTCAAAATTAGTCAAATGCCCAAGATTATTTGCTCTAATCTGCTCTCTGTCCTTGATTTCGTGTGTAAATAGGTATTTATAGGGATAGGGGTGCATAACAGTGGAAATGGAAGCAATATAACTAACCAGAAAAATTCTCTTTGGGCGCGGTAGCCATCACTGACGCGGCCTTTAGCGCGTCAGTCTCCACTGCCGCGACTGAAGAGGCAGTTTCAGCTACGTTCTGCCACATTTATAACTGTCTTCCCATGACTTTAAACTCACGAAATGCCACTTTTCTCGACCTATAACTACCCCTCCATGTTAGCACATGTTCTACTTCTGGTATGCCATCACGTGGACTCACAAAAGATGTTAAAAACTGTCAGCAAATCACATAGGAGATTACCCTGCTATTTGCGCGTCACCATACCCTGCCGCGCATACGCGCGTCACACTTCACCGTCGCGCATACGCGCGTCACACTTCGCCGTCGTGCATACGCGCGTTCGCTGCCGCGCCTATGCGCGTCACCATAGGCTGCCGCGCTAATGTGCATCATCATCTGTTGTTATGTTAACACGCGTCAGTGTATTTTGTCACGAGCATGCACATTGTTCTTTTCTTAGTCTTGAGCTTTATTTGGATGTCTATAAGAATTTTTTTATGCCTACATCATTCTTGAGCTTGCAAGGAAATCTCATACGCTTCTCCCTTCATCCGCAAATTTCAAATAGCACGTGCGAGCCACGTGCATAAGTTGTCATATCAATTCAAATCACGGATGCCATCGTACATCATCACTGCTCAAACCCTAAAAAGATGAGAGCACTGCTCCCGACCATTAACTCCTGCCAAAATTCAAGCTCAAAACTCCTCCAACCCTTCAACTTCTCTACTTCATCCAACATCAAAACCCTCAAACAAACCCACGCCAACCTAATCCGAACCCAAGGAATCCACAACCCTCTCCTCATCAACAAGCTCATCACCGACATTGCCACCTCTCACCCCTCAAATTTCCCCTACGCTCGCTCCGTCTTCTCCTAAATCCAAACCCAGCCCAATACTTTCACTTGGAACTCCTTAATCTGAGGCTACGCTCACAGCCAAAACCCAACAGAAGCCATTGCCCTCTTTCGGCTCATGCCCTGTACAACTACACTTACCCTTTTTCCCTCAAAGCCTCCGCCTCTCTCCCGGACCCATGTGTCGGCCTCTCGCTTCATGAGTCCCTCATCCGTCGAGGTTTCGAGGATTTTGATGAATATATTCAAACTTCGCTCATTAACTTCCTATGCCTCTTGCGGGTCTATAGATATTGCATCAAGCTGTTCGATAAATGTCCTGTGAGAGATGTTACTACTTGGAATGCACTTAATAAGGGGTATATCGAATGCGAGAGGTATAATGATGCGATTCGAGTGTTTAGGGTAATGCAGGATCGATCGAAGGTTAAGAATGATGAAATCACGATGTTGGTTGTTGTATCGGCTTGTGCACATCTTGGGGTGTTGGAGGTGGGGAGATGGATACATGCTTATATTGATAGGAATCGTATGAGGACGAGCTTAAACTTGGAGATTGTGTTGGTAAATATGTATGTAAAATGTGGGGATGTTGAGATTTCGAGCTTGTTGTTTCGGGGAATGAAGGAGAAGGATGTTAGGGTTTGGAGCGTGATGATCAGCGGGCTCGCCATTCATGGGCTTGGAAAAGAGGCATTGGGGCTATTCTATGAGATGGAATCAATTGGAATCAATCCCGATTTTGTTACTCTCACTGCCGTTTTAAGCGCTTGCAGCCATTCGGGCTTGGTTAATGAGGGACTCAAACTGCTCGATCGGATGCAAATAGATTATCTTGTTGAGCCAACAATAGAGCATTATGATTGCATTGTGGATCTTTTGGGAAGGGCGGGGAGATTAAAAGAAGCCCTAGGTTTGATTCAGAGAATCCCTCTGAAGCCCAATGTGGCTCTCTGGGGCGCTCTTTTGGTCGCTTGCAGGGTTCATAAGGATGTTGATATGGGAGAAAAAGTTGCAAAGGAAATGTTTGAATTAGATCCTCATCATGCTGGAGCTCATGTGTTCTTGTCGAATGTATATGCTTCTTATAAAAGATGGGAGCTTGTCGAGGAGGTCAGAAACTCAATGAAGGATCAAAAGGTTAGAAAGCATCCAGGATCGAGTTTAATCGAATTGGGTGGTATCGTGCATGAATTTGTAACTGGAGACAGTTCACATCCTGATTCTCAAAAGATTTATTTGATGTTGGATGAGTTTCGAAGAATTAGGAGAATGAAAGAGCACCAGTCGTTCAGTGGACAAATGTTGTTTGATATTGAAGAGGAGGAGGATAAGGAGGCATGCCTTTCTCAACATAGTGAGAAATTGGCTGTTGCTTTTGGGTTGATTAAGACCAAACCAGGTTTTCAACTGCGCATAGTAAAAAATTTGAGGATTTGTGAAGATTGTCATTCTTTGATGAAGATGGTGTCTGAGTTCTTCAAGCATAATGTGATTGTTAGAAATAGAAGTAGATTTCATCACTTTCGGAACGGGGATTGTTCGTGTAAAGAGCATTGGTGATTGATTGAGGCATGGCGTGACCTTTTAAATCGTCCTATTTATTTATTTTCATTTAAGAGTTGAGTTGCAGTTGAACAATTGAGCTTGATTTTAAGCACAACGGATTTTTGGGGAGAGAAGTAGTTCTTGGTTTGTTTTCAGGCAACGAGGTTCAAACTTATAGTTTCCAGCACAAAATTAACTTTAGGATGCTTTTGTAAAGGCTATCCAGGAATGAAGAACTTAATCTTAATTCATGGATTTTTCATAGAACATTTAATTAGAATGGTGTTTTTTTTCTCAATCTATAAAACAAGGCTATACAAATAAAAAGCTTTCTCAAAGTCAATAGTCTTGTTAGAATTAATCCCAGCAGCCACACCAACGCAGCTCTCTCCGCCGCAGATATCGCCAATGGGGCCGCCGCCGGTGGGGTTTTTCTCCGGTGCCTCGCTCTACGTTGGCGATCTCTCCGTGGACGACGCGCAGCTTTACAATTATTTTAATCAGTTCGTGTCGGTTCGGATTCCTAGGGATCAAGTCACGAGAGATTTTTTTGGAACATAGCTTAGGGTCTCTAACATAATGGCGATTCCTCCGCCACCAGCACGTCCCTTCCCTCTCCGCAACTCATTCCGCCGCAGATGTTGCCTATGGGGCTGCTGTCGGTGGGGGTTTTCTCTAGTGCCTCGCTCTACGTCGGCGATCTCGATGTCTCCGTGGACGACGCGCAGCTTTATGGTTATGGTTATGTAAACTTCCATAATCATCAAGACGCCACTCGAGCTTTGAAGACACTGAATTTTACTACTATTATATTAGGATCATGTTCTCAAACAGAGTTCCTAGCTAGAGGAAAAATGGTCATGGTAATGTATTTATTAAAAAACTTGACCCAACCATTGACAACAAGACGTTGCACGAAACTTTTGCCTCCTTTGGCACTGTGCTTTTGTACAGTTTGAACATGAAGAATCGGCTCAAAAGGCTATATCACAGCTTAACGGCATGTTGTTTAACAATAGAAAGGTATATGTTGGGATATTGAAGAATTTTTCAAAATAGACCCATTCCCATTTTTTTTAAACCGACCCATTTTTTTTATTTACCAAAACCGACCTGATTTTGTAATTAGCAGCTTAATCACCATCCTAAACAGTCGGGGTTGCCAACCCCGACTATTTAGGAAGGTGTTAAACCCTAATTAGAAGCCTTAAACCCTAAAAATTAATGTCCTAAATAGTCGGGGTTGTTGGGATATTGAAGAATTTTTCAAAATAGACCCATTCCCATTTTTTTTAAACCGACCCATTTTTTTTATTTACCAAAACCGACCTGATTTTGTAATTAGCAGCTTAATCACCATCCTAAACAGTCGGGGTTGCCAACCCCGACTATTTAGGAAGGTGTTAAACCCTAATTAGAAGCCTTAAACCCTAAAAATTAATGTCCTAAATAGTCGGGGTTGCCAACCCTGACTGTTTAAGAAGGTAATTAAGTAGCTAATTACCAAATCGGGTCGGTTTTGGTAAATAAAAAAAAAGGGTCGGTTAAAAAAAAAAAGGGGGAATGAGTCTGTTTTGAAAAATTCTTCTGGGATATTTATTCGCCTACAGGAGAGGGATCGGGTAAATGGATCTACAAAGTTCACAAATGTGTTTGTAAAAAAAATTGTCTGAATCAGTTACAAAGGATAACTTGATCCAAATGTTTAAGGAATGTGGTCCTATCAATAGTGCTGACAGATGAAATGGGAAAATCAAGAGGATTATAGCTTCATATTAATTCTAACAAATTTATTGAAACAAGAAAATATCTAAATCATTAAGAGTACTTACCGAATTAAAATGATATCTATTGTTTGGTTTCCTCCTGTATCTCAACCGGTCAAAGTTATTATGTAGTAAGTATGCTGTAAAAAATGTATGGTTATGGCAGACTTGGCAATGGTTCATCTACCGAAGAATTCTTGAGAGTTAGAAAATTAAATCAATGGAAGTCTTCTATTTTCTAAGAATTTCCCACCCACCCTATTTTAAGGGCTAAATGTGTCTGTGGTAAGTTTATGATTACTTCTAGTCGCATGAACCTTATTCATGTGATTCTTATTACTGTGGTGGTGGTTGTTGTGATCAATCATCATAGTACCATTCTTTTGACTTACGAAAAGTTCTGGGACTTTAATTTATTTCACAAATATTTGATGGTGAGAAAATGTTACATGTTCATTTGAGTACTAAACTATAAAGGCATTCTGCATAAAATTCCATCAATTATTTTCCTAGAAAATCACCATCAAATTTCACTAAACCATCATGATTGAACGGATATTAGTTTTGGTATGCACTTATAATTTGAACATTTTCTTATTTATTTTATACTAGTATAATGCACGTGCTTTGCACGTGGATATTTTGTTGTAATTAATATTATATTATTTAATAAATTATATATAACCATTAAAAATTATTTTATTGTACTATGATTAAATTTTTTTAACTTATACTAATATTAGTACTTATAATATTATTAACATACATTTAATAGTTATTTAAATTTTTTTATTATACTATTAAACAATTATTTAGGAGTATAATTATTAAATAATAATGTAATCATTAGTTTAAGTAACACTATTGATATAATTAAACCATTTAAATTATTAAATATTTATGTCATGTACATATTTTATTACAATATCTATTAAATAATGGAAATAATTTTTAATATTATATGACATTATGTTTCTGTCGAGCCCTCTTCGTCAGTACCGATAAGCTTTGATTTAATGACCCCTTAATTAGAGAATGGTCATTTGGAGCAGAGATGTTGCTAGCAGAGTCCTTGGTAATGATCGGGTAAGAATCCTACCCGTAGTCTTTATCGGAGTTAAAGACTGATAAACCTTCTTAGAAGATAAAATCTTCCTGCATTTACGAGGCGAAGAAAATTTTGAGGATGAGGATGACAGATACTCCTCAAATTTTGCCTGATCGAACTCATATTCGATCTCTTCATTAATCATAATCTTGATCGGCTATGACGCAACAGTCTCGGTAGCGAGACCGTTGACTCCCACTGTGGTCGCCAGTTCGTTTTATTCGAAAGGTTATTTTAAAATGGAATCCATTAAAACTTCAATTGCTTACAATGAATTACACAATAAAATAAGAAAATTACAACTCTCTAGAAAATAACACAGGAATTGTTTATCAACTCCTATTTTTGTGGGGACTTTGCCTGTGCCGGAAGTGCGTTAACTCGTGGACCACCAATTCACAAGATTCTGATTGAATTGTGAAAGGCTTTGGGGATTCTCTCATTGTTTATCGAAGTTAGAATTTGAAGTAAATATCTTATCGGTGTAAGATGTTCACTCTTCCAAAGATTAAGTCAAGGCTTAAATCTATAGGAATCAACGAAAGATTCTTGGAAGTATTTTTGAGGAATTAATACTCTCTTGCTCAAAATTAGTCAAATGCCCAAGATTATTTGCTCTAATCTGCTCTCTGTCCTTGATTTCGTGTGTAAATAGGTATTTATAGGGATAGGGGTGCATAACAGTGGAAATGGAAGCAATATAACTGACCAGAAAAATTCTCTTTGGGCGCGGTAGCCATCACTGACGCGGCCTTTAGCGCGTCAGTCTCCACTGCCGCGACTGAAGAGGCAGTTTCAGCTACGTTCTGCCACATTTATAACTGTCTTCCCATGACTTTAAACTCACGAAATGCCACTTTTCTCGACCTATAACTACCCCTCCATGTTAGCACATGTTCTACTTCTGGTATGCCATCACGTGGACTCTCAAAAGATGTTAAAAACTGTCAGCAAATCACATAGGAGATTACCCTGCTATTTGCGCGTCACCATACCCTGCCGCGCATACGCGCGTCACACTTCACCGTCGCGCATACGCGCGTCACACTTCGCCGCCATGCATACGCGCGTCACCCTTCGCTGTCGCGCCTATGCGCGTCACCATAGGCTGCCGCGCTAATGCGCATCATCATCTGTTGTTATGTTAACACGCGTCTGTGTATTTTGTCACGAGCATGCACATTGTTCTTTTCTTAGTGTTGAGCTGTATTTGGATGTCTATAAGAATTTTTTTATGCCTACATCATTCTTGAGCTTGCAAGGAAATCTCATACGCTTCTCTCTTCATCCGCAAATTTCAAATAGCACGTGCGAGCCACGTGCATAAGTTGTCATATCAATTCAAATCACGGATGCCATCGTACATCATCACTGCTCAAACCCTAAAAAGATGAGAGCACTGCTCCCGACCATTAACTCCTGCCAAAATTCAAACTCAAAACTCCTCCAACCCTTCAACTTCTCTACTTCATCCAACATCAAAACCCTCAAACAAACCCACGCCAACCTAATCCGAACCCAAGGAATCCACAACCCTCTCCTCATCAACAAGCTCATCACCGACATTGCCACCTCTCACCCCTCAAATTTCCCCTACGCTCGCTCCGTCTTCTCCTAAATCCAAACCCAGCCCAATACTTTCACTTGGAACTCCTTAATCTGAGGCTACGCTCACAGCCAAAACCCAACAGAAGCCATTGCCCTCTTTCGGCTCATGCCCTGTACAACTACACTTACCCTTTTGCCCTCAAAGCCTCCGCCTCTCTCCCGGACCCATGTGTCGGCCTCTCGCTTCATGAGTCCCTCATCCGTCGAGGTTTCGAGGATTTTGATGAATATATTCAAACTTCGCTCATTAACTTCCTATACCTCTTGCGGGTCTATAGATATTGCATCAAGCTGTTCGATAAATGTCCTGTGAGAGATGTTACTACTTGGAATGCACTTAATAAGGGGTATATCGAATGCGAGAGGTATAATGATGCGATTCGAGTGTTTAGGGTAATGCAGGATCGATCGAAGGTTAAGAATGATGAAATCACGATGTTGGTTGTTGTATCGGCTTGTGCACATCTTGGGGTGTTGGAGGTGGGGAGATGGATACATGCTTATATTGATAGGAATCGTATGTGGACGAGCTT